TCAACATTTTATTATTTCATTCAAAAAGCGAACGCAGAGAGAGTTGGAGACACTCATGCACAGCTGACGACTTTTCCCCCCTTGGGAGGCTATTCCACATGTAGTCGCTACCGGTACGATGGTATTTCGTGTAACGTTCAAGATGATTTGCGCTTCCGAAACCAAGGCCACCCGCGAGTGTAGCCTACGACCTCGACAACAAAACCTACGCTCTCTCATGCATGCTTCCTGGCCGGTGAGTCGTGCTTCCAGAGATAAAAAGACAAATCATACACGTGTGGTGGGATTACCCCAGGTTTACAGTACGTGCGTATGAGAACCTCCAGGGTGGGCTAGTGTTATAGGATTAGAAGTGGAGACGGCACAGAATGGAGAATGGTTCCTGAGAACCATTATCGGGGAAACATGACTCCCCGTTCTGGGAACTTGTGACTCCCCGCAGTAGGATAAACAAGGGGACAGATTCTGCTGTCCCCTCTTGATGCAGCTCGTTCGGAGCCCCTTTGTCTCAGTTCCTATCCAACCACGAGTCATCAGCTTCTGCTGCTGCTCTGCAAGCGATGATAACAAGTGACTTATCTACATCGGGTCTTCCAGTCAGCACTGCGCGTGCTTTGCCATTTCACACGTCCCCTGGCCTTGCTCTCTCTCATCGATCGCAGGCCGGGCTTCGACCGCAACACGAAAGAGCGACGATGAAGGCTACTCAACGGGGTGGAACATCTACGTTTGACGGCCGCCAAATCATCACAACATCCGTAGCCACGGCCGAGAGCTCGATAAATGTCTCGTCAGAAGCCTGCCCCGCATCCTCCAGTTGTATTTACCACGCTGGGGGCGTTACATGCCAGGACGAGGACTGAGAATGAATGCAGAAGGAGGATGAACGTTGTGCTCGGGATGCGCGGGCGCAAAGAACTACTGCTGTATAGTTTTATGTATCCCCTGGAAAAGCCCGGCAGGTTCAGCACGCCCTGTGTTGGGCAAACAGTTTTTTTCTTCTTTTTGTTTTCGCCTCTCTGCCTCTGATTCTGCATCGGACGTTTTGATCCTCACCTTACTAACTCTTTAGCCGCCCCACGATGTATTGAAAAAGATGCTGCTGTTGTTTTTGCTCTGTTTTTGTGGTCGTCTTCACTTCTGTTTGATGCTGCTGCGCTCCGTAGTCTACAAATAATATATTTGGATGCGTCCGCATCGAGTCCACGAAGTGGACACGCACACTCTTGGCGTGGAACAGGGTATTGGTCGGGATGTAGGGGTAGATGACAAAGCTCGGAGAAACAAAACGTGCTCGTGCGTGTGTACAAGCATGTTTTGCAGGGTAAAATCGGAATGGATCCGAAAATGGATGGGCCACTGAGTATCACAATACACATCACCCATTTTCGTGCCACTTGAAAGACCGCACTGTAAATAGTATATCCAGGTACTCTTTCTCTACATACCTTCAAGGGCATCCATTACACCCCCCGTCACCTAACGATGCGTGTGACGCAAGCACCACTACAGCCTCGCATGGCAGCATCAACGGGAATAGACACAAGAATGCCACAAACTACGCAATAACATCTACCATACACTTCAGAAACACCTGGTGCAATCATCATCGTTTGCATAAAAGTTATCATTGTAGAGCGAAAGCGTTGCAGCAGCAGCAGCAGCGACAGCGACGGTTTCCACGTTGCCTTCTGGGTTAATAGAAGGTACCCCTCGAAAGTATCTAGAGGAAGAAAACGGAGTATCAACCATGAACTCAACACCGGACAAGTGTGGAAGGCACGGTCTATCATCGGCGTTGAGCAAGAAAAATGAAAGTATGTTTCTTCGACCAAAAGCAATGTCGTGGTTGNCGAAAGCGTTGCAGCAGCAGCAGCAGCGACAGCGACGGTTTCCACGTTGCCTTCTGGGTTAATAGAAGGTACCCCTCGAAAGTATCTAGAGGAAGAAAACGGAGAATTAACCATGAACTCAACACCGGACAAGTGTGGAAGGCACGGTCTATCATCGGCGTTGAGCAAGACAAAATGCAAGTATCATCGACCAAAAGCAATGTCGTGGTTACACTATTGTAGCAAAGAAATAGGAGTTACACCCGAACAGCACCGGAATCAAACATGGCACGGTTAACGTGGTCTCGTCCCATCGACTCTTGTGGATCTTCTCGACCGACCGATGCGCTGCCCTCCAAACAGACATCGTCAATACTGTCTCCACCTCGGCCACTGCTGTCTGTCTCTACCTTATGCCTTCTGCACCTCAGACTCAGACCCANCTTCTGGGTTAATAGAAGGTACCCCTCGAAAGTATCTAGAGGAAGAAAACGGAGAATTAACCATGAACTCAACACCGGACAAGTGTGGAAGGCACGGTCTATCATCGGCGTTGAGCAAGACAAAATGCAAGTATCATCGACCAAAAGCAATGTCGTGGTTACACTATTGTAGCAAAGAAATAGGAGTTACACCCGAACAGCACCGGAATCAAACATGGCACGGTTAACGTGGTCTCGTCCCATCGACTCTTGTGGATCTTCTCGACCGACCGATGCGCTGCCCTCCAAACAGACATCGTCAATACTGTCTCCACCTCGGCCACTGCTGTCTGTCTCTACCTTATGCCTTCTGCACCTCAGACTCAGACCCATTTCGTTTCTTCTCGTTCCTGTAAAAGTCTTCCTGGATTTCCAACATATGGATGAAAACTTCCATCATGTCCTCGAAGGAGGCCATGCCTCCGCGGACGTTCGGGTCGTGGTCTAAGAATCTTGGGAGGTAGAACGACACCTGTGTGCAGCGGGTTGTCATCGTGACAGAAATGGACACATGATAGGGAATGCGTGGAGGTTAGACGAGCCCTCTCAAGGCTTAGCACGGTAAAACATCATGGGGGAGGTACTTGAGCTACAGTGCACCTTCAATACTTGGTATGTGTTCTTGTGGCAACCGCCCTGACGCTTCAAGAATCAAACATAGCGAAGAACGGCCATGCAAGTTAACCCGGGCGGAAGTCTTTCTGGTTTGGGTCGGGGTAGGCGTAGGACTCACATAATCCCAGAATCCTCGGAGCGAAGCTGCANCAATAAATCATCGGACACGGGAGAAACTTGGAAGAAGCTCCACCCCCCGCTCCCCTCTCAATGCAGAGGGAGAATCAAAACTCACAAGCGGACACCATTATAGTCGATAGAGGTGGGCAGCCGTGAGAGTAGTCTATTGTATGTGGCGTTACCGCGGAGGTCGGAAGTCGTCGCTCAATGAACTCACCATGCTCCTGACAGAACGCGAGCCCAGGTCCGGATGCAGGTTGTCGACCGTCATGAGCATCTTGAAGGCGCCTGTCGTCATTGTCCTCCTCATGACCTTCCTCAAACCACAGAAGCAGGACCGANAACAACAACAACAACAACAACAACAACAACAACAATGTTAGCAACGGCAGCATCGACCAATAAATCATCGGACACGGGAGAAACTTGGAAGAAGCTCCACCCCCCGCTCCCCTCTCAATGCAGAGGGAGAATCAAAACTCACAAGCGGACACCATTATAGTCGATAGAGGTGGGCAGCCGTGAGAGTAGTCTATTGTATGTGGCGTTACCGCGGAGGTCGGAAGTCGTCGCTCAATGAACTCACCATGCTCCTGACAGAACGCGAGCCCAGGTCCGGATGCAGGTTGTCGACCGTCATGAGCATCTTGAAGGCGCCTGTCGTCATTGTCCTCCTCATGACCTTCCTCAAACCACAGAAGCAGGACCGAGAAGATTGGTACATGGTAGCAGTACCGGAAATACGTGTCGCGGGAGGAGGGGTTGACTGTGAAACGCCCACAGGGTATGGTACATGGTGCAGTAGTAGGTATTGGCGTACGGCTTGGGTTTTTCTTGTTTGAGTCAGCGCGATGGTGTGTATGTAGCGTCCGTCCATAGGCATGACCTACCGTGTGGCACACGTCAAATCAAGAGCGTGAAAGACATTTCGAATGAAGGTCTGCTCGAAGGCTCATCGTCACTTGATTTCCTTAAGCTAAAACTTGAAATAGGGTAGATGCACAAATAATTTGGACAAGTTTCAATCTGCTTTGTAGTCGACTTTCAGGAGGCAGCCCCAAAGACACAATTCATGTTTAACACGGAAAACCTCTGTCATCAAATCCCAAACAAACCGGAGTAGGCTGAAGGGTTTGCAGAGAAGCAGCTTTCGACGGGTGCCCCTGAAAGCAATCGATGTTTACACAGGCTAGGAAGGACGCCCCTCCGTGCGTTTCGTGCGTTTTTTTTCGACCCCCCCACCAAACAGCAGCTTGGATTGGTGCGGCTGTTTGAGTCTGCATATGCAATCACTTCGAAGCAATACCCCCTCCCCCAACGTTGCACTTGATCCCCAAAGCGTTGTTGACTGGATGATTGCACGATTCCTTGCAGGGTTAACGTGCTTCTCTCGGCGCGTTGTCGCTGCCGTTTTCACAGTACTGTACATGTAAGGAAAATCAAATTCCGTGATGCACAAGCTCCTGTATGCCGGTTAGTTTTCCTTTGTTTTTTCTTTTCGTTTAGGTAGAAAGGAAATCGCGCCTTGGAGGACATTTCTGGGGTCCAGTTTAATTAATATTTTTAGAAAGGTGTATCCCCCCTTTGGGGGCAGTTGGCTTGTGACCACGGAAGGCGTCCGCGTTAGTTGGACCAGCACATACATAAGAAGGTACTGAGCGGAGACCGGAACGGTTTTTATGTGAAGCCAAGAACAACAAGAAGCTTCCATACCCAATAGCAACCCCGAATGAGGAGATGTGCTCCAAAGTCTTCCGGCAAACCCTCCCTTCAAATAGTGCTCAACCAACGTGCTCGTGTCGTGGATGAACACCGAATGGGCCGTGCACAGTTCGGAGCAACATTCTCCCGTGGTGGGTAGTTTGACGCGAAATTCCACAACGGCACTGCTCTCTCCGCCCTTCTGCAGGAAAGAGTGTACACACCGGTAGTTCAACGCAGATAGCGGAGATCAAACCACGGTAGATGTAGGATATTTATACTGGTGAGACAAAGAACGTACTCGCGACCTCTCCTTTAGTCTCACCGGCGAGATGAACATGTTCGCCTGCATCTTGTTGGGGGTCACGCAGACGGTGAAGGCCATCACACCCATCGCGAACGTGTCCTGGCGTGGGTAAGTTGGTACCGATGCCTGCATCACCTCAAGAGGCATGCTCCCTATAGTTCCCATCATCTTGGGACGCATCTCTCCCAGCGCTGAATCAGTATTATTTGGACACGGGCGGGGAGTGCTCTTGTCTCGCCTCGTCGTGAGGTTGNCGTGTCCTGGCTTGGGCAAGTTGGTACCGATGCCTGCATCACCTCAAGAGGCATGCTACCTAGAGTTCCCATCATCTTGGGACGCATCTCTCCTAGCACTGAATCAGTATTATTTGGACAAGGGCGGGGGTTACTCTTGTCTCGCCTCGTTGTAAGGTTTTTGTGATGGGGGGTCATTGTGCTCATTTTCTTCCCCTCCATGTGGGACTTTTCACCTCGAAATTCTCTCTGGGCCACCGCCGCGTGGTGATGCACTGCCGCACCAGTCATTTCAGAGATGGAAATACACACACTTCTCATGCCAATACGCGACGTAGGCTCGGTGCATCTCTCTACTACTCCGCCGTGTCGACGTATGCTGGCCCGCAACCGACGGCAAACCGTGGTGTACGGGTCTTTCTCTCTTTCACCTCGGGCAAAACCGAAGTCGGAGATCTTGGGCAAAAATCTCCCGCCCCCGCCGTCAAACAGGAGGATGTTGGCTGGCTTAAGATCACCGTGGCCGATGCCTGCCTTGTGCATGTGTCGCACGCCGTAAGCGACCTGCTGCAGGCAGCTGTCGAGGTAGTTGGAGGCGGGCCGCGTGTGTCGTGACTATCAGTCAGAACAGAGAGGACTATGATGTGAATCTTTGATTCTAGCGCAAAAACAATGTTTTGTGGCGAGAATTGAAGGCGGTAGTTCAGAACATCTCAGAGAGCCGACAAAAGAGCTGATGATCANGTCGAGGTAGTTGGAGGCGGGCCGCGTGTGTCGTGACTATCAGTCAGAACAGAGAGGACTATGATGTGAATCTTTGATTCTAGCGCAAAAACAATGTTTTGTGGCGAGAATTGAAGGCGGTAGTTCAGAACATCTCAGAGAGCCGACAAAAGAGCTGACAAGTTGATCATTTTCTAGGAAAGCGATTTGTTCATCAAGTCTTTAGACTCGGGGATGCGAGGCGTGCAACGGTGGCGTGTCCGTGCAACAAACGATGGCTTCCACGCTACAATACGCCAACAACACATCATCTGTGCTCTGTCTCATCGAAGCTGTAACATCATTTCCCCGGCACTTCAAAAAACCTCCGATTCGATTGCTTCTTTACACTCCACTACAGCCTGCGTGTGGGAAATACGCGAGGATTTCTGTCAGAACCACACCCGCCGTTTTGAGATTATCTCGTCCTTCCTGAGTTACCCTGTTAATGAAAGCTTCGCGGAGCATGATTCCCAATGCCGTCTTCGTGTATGTACCTCTGTAGACATGTGGCAGTGACATTTTCCATATTTCGCGAGGTTCAGGTCAAGGGGGGGCATTTCACATCGTTTCCCTCAATCACACAAACTCCCCAACACAGCGACGCAGCTGCATTGGTATACGTACGCACAAGCTCACACACCTCAGCTTGGCGGGCATGGTCCAGCCGTCGTGCTTGAGCACTTGCTCAAAGTCTCCGTTTGCCCTCGGAAGCAGGATGGGCATGTCCACAGCCGCTGCTCGGTCGTCGATCGCGACGGCCCCGACGATGTTCGGGTGCGGGTTGTTGACGAGGCTGTGCGGGGGCAACAGCACAACAGCGGGCAACACACGCCGCGTGGGTGAAGATTGCGAGGCGGTTACGAACACATATATATCCTGCACACTTCACACTATATTCGCAGTACGTGATAGTCTTTGCTGCAGGTCATGAAGGCATCGTAAGGGAAGGATAACAACGCTGCGGGCATGTTGGTAGATGCTTTTTATCTGTTGTGTGAGTGGGCGGGAGGCTTTGCACCCATACATGTTGCCCACATACGCGTCACATACGACACACGGCCGCGGCGGGCTCCATGTGGACCACAACAACGACAAGGCTGGTGTACAGCCCCCATCGTCACCGCATCAGGCCGTTTCGCGTGCTGTAGCTTGACGCTTCCTCAACCTTGATACTACAATTGGTGATGGTCTCACCGGCTCATTACGATCATCTCCACGCGAGCGCAGTACCGAGCCTTGTCGTCCGCATCCTGAAAAGCAGGCATTTTNGCCGTTTCGCGTGCTGTAGCTTGACGCTTCCTCAACCTTGATACTACAATTGGTGATGGTCTCACCGGCTCATTACGATCATCTCCACGCGAGCGCAGTACCGAGCCTTGTCGTCCGCATCCTGAAAAGCAGGCATTTTTTTCCGAGCAGGTGCACACACATTGTCAACATGGGTCCCGTGTTTTGGAATTTTCAGATTTTATCCAGCCGCGGTGCTTCCAACGAAACTACAGTGCTGATTCGTCCGGAACGTACACGGGAAAAAAATCGCACGTTTTACCTTCCCTGGAATTTCTTCGAACACTCCCACTGTAGTGGTATGGTGTCTCCCAGAACATCTGCTACGACCACCACAATGTCCTACCCAAGCCCGGTCGCAAAGAAGTGGTAGAATGACGTGTCAATAGCCAGCCTCCCCCGACCCGCACAAACTTGCCCGCTCAGGCCGCGGGGCCTCTCACCTCCTTTAACCTCTTCAGCGCGAACTCCCCCGGCAGGAAGCTGAGGCTGGCACCCTCGACGACGCCGAACGATCCCTCTCCGAGGATGCCACCCACTCGTAACGGCGAGTTCGCCCCGCCGCCACCCTCGCTTCCGCCGAGAGCGACACGGGCCGCCCGCACCAGCGCGCAGTCTTCTTCCACCGTCGACGCCTGGCGGTCAATCACGTTCTGGACGAACGCCGTCCTGACCTCACCGGGCTCGGCCGAGTCCACGACGGGATGGAAGTTGCCGAACCCGACGTCGACGCTTGAGGCACGGTTCTGTTGAAGAGGTGCAGCGTGTTGGCGGTGGAGAAGGTATGTTTGGGGTGGTTGGGACGGGTCGCGGCGTCACGAGAAAATTTCGTGTTTGACGTTCGTCACGCGGTGGGCTTGCTGCGCATCACCGGGATATTGGGGCGTTCCAGCCGTTCTCGTATAGAGTGTTCTGTAGTTTGTTGCAGGCGGGGCACGGGTGTATCTTCGCGTCCTACATCAGCATGCTCGTTTCACAAACTCCGAGATATCTACGCTCCCCCGGCGTTCTCGATCACGCTACTCACGTCACGCACCGGCACGAGGGACAGACTATCCTCGTCCCCGTTCTCCGAGAGGTCAACGTCGTGATCGTCAAGGCCGTATCTCCTTCCGAAGANGCACGAGGGACAGACTATCCTCGTCCCCGTTCTCCGAGAGGTCAACGTCATGATCGTCGAGGCCGTATCTCCTTCCGAAGTAGGACAAGTTGTTGGAAGCCGCGGAGATGGCAGAAGCAGGAGAAGGAACGGCAGATACCGGGGTGAGCGGATGGGATCCCAGAGCGTCCAGGGTGCCTACGTACCGTGATCCCTGCTTGGAAATATTGACCTGATATTCGATATTGACAGGCAGAGAAAGAGAGATAGGGCAGGGGGGAAGAGGACAGGGAACGGAGAAAGAGGAAGGAGTTGTGGAGAGTTTCGAAAACACCGACATTATGGTAGGCATGAGATACAAACGCGAGCGGCACCGAGAGGCTATTGGCGATACCAGAGCATTGATGCAAGACACACAAGCGTTCCATGTCACGGGAACTTGGCTACATCGTACCTTCACTGAGGCAGCAGAGCTGAAATCCCCTCCCAGGCTCGAGGCGGCCGGCCGAGGAGCAGCGGGCCAATAAGACGCATTCATCGCTGCCGCGCGCACGGCTGTACCTGCGCGTTGTGGAGATCGGGAGCGGGAGAGAGATGGCGTCGACCGACACGGGGAAGGCGGGCGCCCGCCGCGTGCCCGGGGAGAGGTGGGCCTTCCGCGGGAGGGGGCGGCCGTCGACATTGGCTCCGACGACGACAGTAGTCGCGGGGTCACATCGGTGGTGGAAGTGCCCGCCGTCTTGCACACGGCGGCTAAAGACTCAACTGGTGTCGAGGAGGTCAGGCTCAACACCGCCGCCGGCACCACCGCCGCCAGCGTCTCCGTCGCCGTGGCAATCATGATGGTCGGCCTTGCGCTACCGAGAGGGCCGCCGTTGAGCTTGGCGACCGTCGTCGTCGCGGAGGGAAGCAGGAGTGGCTTGGTGACGTCCGTGGCGGCGCTAGCGACGGCACCCAGATCCTGAGGTGTGTGGCTGCCCATGTCCCTGACACCGCTTCTGGCGACGCTGCGGGTGCTGCTGTAGGAGGTCCCGGCGGGCGCCGCTTGCTCTTTCCCCATGACGATGCGCTTCAGCATCCTCCGCCTCGCAGCAAGCTGCTGCGGGGGGCGCCGGATCGTTGCCCAATTGTAGAGCGGTACCGCCCGCCCCAACGAATCGATGCGAACGACGTCGTCTGCCTGCCTGTGTGAAGTTGGAGCAGGACGAGCGTGCCTCGAGCGCTGTTGTGGTTGGTGTTATGGTTGTTGATGATGATGGCGCTTCCGTCCGGTCGCATTGGCGAGCTCGCCCCGCCGCCGCTCCCGCTTCCGCCGGGAACGACGCGGGCCGCCCGCGCCAGCGCGCAGCCTTCTCCCTCCGTGGACGCCTGGCGTTCAGTCACGTCCTGGATGACCACGGCCCTGACCTCAACGTGCTCGGCCCGGTCCACGACGGGATGGAAGTTCCCAAACCCGACGTGGACGCTTGAAGCACGGTTCTGTTTAAGAGGTGCAGCGTGTTGGCGGTGGAGCAGGTATGTTTGGGGGAAACATTAATATTCGTTTCAGGCGTTCGTCACCAGCTGGCCGTTGGGCTTGTTGTGCACTACAGGGACATCGGGCCGTGCTAGCCGACCACGCGTGAAACATCCTGTTGGTATGTAGCAGGCGGCTCGCGGGTGTATCTTTGCATCCAATACCAGCATGTTCGTTTCACAAACTCCGAGACATCTACTTCCCTGACGTTATTGACGACTCACGTCACGCGCCGACAGGGCGGAAAGGCTAACCCCGTCACGCTTTTGCGAGAGAAGCGTGGTTGAGGACATCACGGAGGTAGGTGTCGAAGAGTCACAAAAACACCGACACTATGGTAGGCATGAGATACAAACGCGAGCGGCACCGAGAGGCTAGCTGGGGTACCAGAGCATTGATGCAAGACACACAAGCGTTCCCATGTGACAGAAACTTTGGCTACATCGTACCTTCACCGAGGCAGCAGAGCTGGAATCCCCTCGCAGACTCGAGGCGGCCGGCCGAGCAGCAGCGGACCAACAAGACGCATCCACCGCTGCCGCGCGCACGGCTGTACCTAAGCTTTGTGGAGATGGGCAGCGGGAGAGTGATGGCGGCGACGGCAGCAGTCACGGGGTCACATCGGTGGTGATGGTGTGTGTCGTCGTTCACACAGCGGCGAAAGACTCAGNATGGCGTCGACCGACGGGAAGGGGCGGCCGTCGACCTTAGCTCCGACGACGGCAGCAGTCGCGGGGTCACATCGGTGGTGTAGTTGCCCCCAGTCTTGCACACGGGGGCGGAAGACTTAACTGGTGTCGAGGAGGTCAGGCTCAACACCGCCGCCGGCACCGCCGCCGCCAGCGTCTCCGTCGCCGTGGCAATCATGATGGCCGGCCTTGCACTACCTAGAGGACCGCCGTCTAGCTTGGCGACCGTCGTCATCGCGGAGGGAAGCAGGGGTGGCTTGGCGACGTCCGTGGCGGCGCTAGCGACGGCACCCAGATCCTGAGGTGTGTGGCTGCCCATGTCCCTGACACCGCTTCTGGCGACGCTGTGGGTGCTGCTGTAGGAGTTCCCGGCGGGCGCCGCTTGCTCCNGGGCACGGTGCTCGTAGCACCAGGGCCTGGTCGTCCGCCGCATCGTCCAAAGCTTCGTCGTCTTCTTTGTCGCTGGAAAAAACGGGGCAAGAACAAGAATTTTACCAAGTCAAGCATACCCGCGTGGTTGTAAAATACCTATAACAGTGCTCGGCCAGGACAAGACACAGCGAGTGTTCCTTGCGGTCTCTACCACCAACAGGGGTACGTAGAAGCAGCCATTGTTGAGCGCGGAGACACGTTTACCGGTAGGACACGTGGAGGAGTTGAAGCTTACCCGCCGAACGACAAAATACGGGGGAAACCATAGTGCCAGCAGATTGGTGTGTGTTGTGATCTCGTGTACTTCACTCGTCTGNTCAGGGCTGCGCACGGGGCGTTTTTTTTTTTGAAGCGGAGCGGAGCGGATTCAACCGCTCCGTGACATGAACAAAACACCGCTCCGCTCCGTGAGACTTTTGCCCTCGGATAAACCGCTCCACTCCGTGGGATTTCCCGACAATCCGTACAAGCGGTTTCTTCACGGAGCGGCTTCAGCTACTCCCTCACACAAGCACGGATAAAACCGCAATATACAGTCACGGGTTTCCCACGGATTCGCGGTTTTTCCCCACAGAGTCACGTTTTTTTCCCACGGAGTCATGGCATTTTTCTTTTTTTTCTGTTGTACCTTCCACAGCAGCCACACAAATAACATAATAACCGTGCCAACACACACAACAAACAACAGCAGTCCGCGCCACACACAAGCACCATGACATCCTAGGTTTCTGGCGGGATGCCGGCAGCCCACGTCTTGATCCCCACGGAAACGTGGTTTCTGCTGCGCAATTCCCCATCTTGTCCATGCTCGCTCGCGTCTACCTTTGCATTGACAGCACTAGTTGCCACTCAGAGAGGGAGTTTTCGGGGCTGGGGTTCGTGTACAAAAATCTTCGGCTGTCGATGCTGCCCGACCGTGTCGAGATGGTGATGTTCCTCAGGTCTAACCCCTATTTCACTCCCGGGATCATCAAGAAGTTGGATATGGAGTTGGGGAAGCTGCTTGCAGCGCAGTCTGTTGGGAAGGCTAAAGCTGCAACCGTCCAAGCCGTTCGTGCGGGAGAGCAAGTAGCTGTCGATGTCGAATATCTGACTGAGTAAAATAGGGGCGTATGTATTTGGATGAAAATACACAATACAAAAAGCCTGGTGTTAGAGTGCTAGTACTGACAAGTTTTAACGACAAGCGAATGAGGAATCATCTGCTGTTGTACGTGTTGCAGGAACATATGACATATGAGTCGAGGTCCTGGTGTTAGAGTGCTAGTACTGACAAGTTTTAACGACAAGCGAATGAGGAATCATCTGCTGTTGTACGTGTTGCAGGAACATATGACATATGAGTCGAGGTGGTACCGATGTGGGGAACAGTTCCTTTCTGAATAACAGCTGGATTTTTGCCTTTTGCTTTTTGGGCTGTATTGGCTGTCCTAGCGGCGAGGACGCATACGGTGTCACCGGCGTCCTCCAACCACAGCACACTGTGCGGAAAAATCGGTCTTCGGTGTACCGAACCCAATGTCTTTCACGAAATTGCAGGTACTCCGTCGATTTTGTACGGATATCCGTGTGGTTTCGACCTTTCTTTCTGGCAGAGAACCGTCCTCAACGCCACTGTTCGCGTGGTTGATGCTACCGAGTAAACGAAACCGCTTCGTGAAAAAAAAAAGCACTACGGACAAACCGCTTCGCACCGCTCCGTGACATGAACAAAAAAAACGCTCCACTGCGTGAGACCTTTGCCCTCGGATAAACCGCTCCGCACCGCTCCGTGATATTTTCAAATGAAGAAAACCGCTCCGCTCCGTGGAACATTGACCCCTTTGGGTCTAGCTCTTATTTTTTTTCAGCAAAAAAAAAATAGGGACGAAAGAATGCGGGAGAGAGAGCGAGAAGTACAGCAGAAGGAGACGTGTATACTTCTGTAGACGCAACAGCTATCTCCACCCATAGGCCATGAGGGCTGCCAACGACAGGACGGTGGGCACATACAGGGTAAGNAGAAAACCGCTCCGCTCCGTGGAACATTGACCCCTTTGGGTCTAGCTCTTGTTTTTTTTCAGCAAAAAAAAAAAAAGGGACGAAAGAATGCGGGAGAGAGAGCGAGAAGTACAGCAGAAGGATACGTGTATACTTCTGTAGACGCAACAGCTATCTCCACCCATAGGCCATGAGGGCTGCCTACGACAGGACGGTGGGCACATACAGGGTAATAGAAGGGTTGATGTGTGGTAGCGGTGCGGCCGCTAGGGCAGGTTAGGCTTGTAGGTCTCGAAAAGATCAGTCGTCAAGCAGCCTAAACTACTCTATTTTCAGTAGTCTATATTCAAATAATCAATGAAAATGATCGGTGAGAGGGCTTGTCGACCCGTAGACTAGCTGGTTCTTGTACTTCGGTACTTCTCTGTCCCCTCCCCAATGTGCGCCCTGCCGGCTCACTGCAGCTCCTGTGATTTTCCCACAATTCCTACAAACACGCAGGCACACCACAGTACACACACCTACCTTTGCATCAGTGGCTCCCTAGGTTCGGGCGAGGTTTGATTAGGGCTAAGGTGATAGTGTATGCGTTACTACTACTGCTGTATGTTGGACTCGTCTATACTGCTGCTGCTGCATAGTATATCTGCAAAGACTGCTGGATCTTGGGAGTGTACGATTTTCAAATTTGGAGTATATGCAGCATACTTCGATCATATTCTGGCCTGGTTGGACTTGAAGTGCCCCTTTTCGCTGTCATCCTGTCTTTCCTTGAGCGGCTTCCTAGATTCGGGCGAGGGCATGAATGTGGAGCTATTGATGTGTGCCTCTGTGAAAGGATATGGCGAGAGATTAATGGTGGCATTTGCATATAGGGCAGTGTGCATTTTTCGAATTTTGGCCGTTCCAGGGACCTGATATTACCCGCTGGCATTGCTGTGACGTCCTTGTATTGGTCACCGGGTAGCGCGGTCGATGCAAATAATAAAGACACACCTACCTATTGACTTGCCAACACCTGGCGTGGAGGAATACAGGGCAACAACTCCATGGCATGCCACCACACCATCATTTGCAAGTGATCAATCAATGATCATTCAGGACGCCTGTAGACCCAAAAGGGTAAAGAAAACAACGCCCCGCGGAGCGGTTCTACTCCGTGCACAAGTTTGTGTGTGTTGTCATCTTGTGTACTCCAGACGTCCATTTTTCACCACTCAGAACGCCGTTGGACGCCCCAACAGGGATCACATAATAGCAGGCAGGCCAGACATGAGACTTGTGTTTCTGGATGAGAAGGAGACACGCGTGTGTTGTATGCATGTGTGCAGTAAATACTTATCACGCCGAGCGACTACAATTGTAGGGGGTATGGAAACATATGTCACGGAGCAAAACTGAGCGGCTCCCACCACTGTACTCGGCTGCTCCGTCGAACAAACTCCTTCGCGAACAACCCCCCCAATTATAGCAAGACCTAAAAGTCCTCGTGGTCCGCCATTCTATCAAGCGTGTGCCGTCCTTCAACAATAGCAAAGTTTGCACCACCCTCTGACGACAGGTTCCTAAACCTGCTATCCTACAAGAACGGCCAGTGGCTACCGCCGCCCGAGTTGTTCGATCGAAGGGAAAGTGCCTGCAACTGTAGTTGCACTCACCGGTCGTTTGGGCCCGGGAGGCAGAACTTACACTTGTCCAATACCGCGGCAATGATGGGGCAGGAAACCACGCTGTCAATAGCTCGTAGCAGGAAGGCTGCGATGAACGCAACCATACTTTGCTGAATAGGGCAAGTCCACGGAACGATGGGGTATTGTAGCGAGATTGGAATTACTATGAGCGAAAAAACTATCGAGCACGGCCCTTCGCCTATCTATAGACTATCTACCTAGACAGGATCACGCAGCAATGGCACAGCAGATATCCGACTACAAATCCTGCCCAAGCACGTACCACCGACAGCGGGTGTCTGTCAAATCACCGTTCGGTACATCCATCAAAACGACCAAACAGCGTGAGTCCGTATTGCGATTGTGGTACTCCCGTGCGGACGAAGGCTTGAGGGGTATTCGAGGGAGCAAGGCCTAGACTGCGTGTATGCAGCCCGAAAGAGATGTCCCGAGGAATGAAGCGATAAAGAGGACACTCCCTGGTGACAACCCATGCCTTTTACCATATCAACCAGGGTCGTCGAACAACAACTGACACCGCCGTACTCATGCCTTTCGGAGGGGTAAGGGAGCCCCCCCCAGGCCACGCGAGTGCGTGTAGCGTGCGAGAGAGCGGGTTTCGTTGTCTGAATGCCCAACCAACCGAGTGGAAAAACTCAGCAGCGGGTACCAAACATGGGGATGCTGGGATCCTACATCAGCCACAGCTCTCGCCCGACTCGTTTACGACGCACGCCTGATGTAGCGCTACAAGAAAACGCGCAGACAAAGAAAAACCTGGCTTCCACAGATCTGCTGCTACCTCTATGCTTCACTTCTCTGAGATCTCCAACAACACGTCGAAT